TCAGAGGTTACATAAATCTGTAAATGTTTGATTCCTATAACAGAAAAGCCAGGACCAGATCTGTTCTTGTATTTAGCATTAGCTTTTGCTGAATGGCGGGTCCTTACAGTGCAGTGGTTGGGTTTCTGGTGAATGAGTAATAGTCCATTAAGGATACAAAACCATATTTTATTTACTGGTGGTAAGCTGGTTTGGTGACTAAGTAGGTAAGTCAGAATGGAAATTTATTGCGATAAACCACAGTCAAGACTTCTTGGGCTTGTTTTAACATATCCAGTAATAAAGGAAAGCTCAGCTAATATCACAGTCCAGGAACATAAAATAGACTTATATGAGTTTGTCTCACTCTGGAAACATAATACAGTGCCCAAAAAAGAACCATGAAAAGTAATAATGAAGGTAGGATTTTCATGCAACAAATGAAATTGGTAATGCTTTTTTAAATTTCTTTCAAGGTTTTTTTTTTTTTCATTAAGTACTTTATTATCTAAAATACACATGTTGAAATGAGTAGTTGTTTATCTGATTTATAAATGAATTTGTTTTTGACATTACATGGACTGAACAATTAGCACATTAATTAAAAAATTATAAGAGACAAATTAATTTTGAAATTGTTTGTTAGTTGCAACCTGTACAACATACACCTTGTTTTCACACTGAGTGTCGTGGTCATTTTATTTTCAAGGTTTTTTCACTCTGGTTTTGTCATAGTCCTGTGTATGGTTATTGATGTTTGAGACAGAATAACTGTGCAAGATGTCTGGCTGTTAGGTGTGGCTTATTTGTATGGGGTGGTGATGTTGCCGGGTAAGTGAACTTGGAGTGTTTGAATGGGGAGGTTTTGGGTGTAGAAAGTGGCTGGACTTCCTGTCCTCATCCTCAGCTCCAGCCCAGCTCGCTGTGCCGCAGTGGAGCAGGCTTGTTTAGTTAGCCGTTTGATTTATGGCCTTGGGGTTTTTAATATGCTGCTGCCCCGTCCCTCTCAAACCCAGCACCACAAATTACACCAGGAAGCAAACTCCCTTAGAGTTTCTCACAAAATATTGACCTAAAATAGCACAATGCCACGACACCTGTGTCAGCACCATGCATGTATGAAATCATCTATCTGTACATACATATTACAGATGGTAAATCCATATATCCATACATGTACACATATAATGGATGGAAAGCATATATACACATGCATTTTGCAAAATATATAGATGGGACTTGTTTAATTCTAGTAGTGAGTAGTATAAAGTTTTGAAAATTTCTCCTGACCTGAAAGTCATCAGTAAGTATATAAAAAATATATATATATGTTCTTCAAACAAATCTTTTTGTATGTAAATGCCCCTGCTTTAGTAGTGTTTCATTTTCACAGAAACAATCAATATTGGTGAGGGAGTGTTATTTTAAATGGTTAATGTGTAACTATATGGAGATCACATATCTTCAAATGATGCACTCTTGAAATATACGTATGATCAACACTTTGCATATTTACAAACATATTGTATCTGAATATGCTAATTTATTTTGTCAAGCATGTTGTGTATGTAAGCAATGTATGCATGTAAGAAGCACAATTACTATAATAGACCATGTCCACTGACAACATTTTAAGAGGTGCTGCAGTTTCTGTACAGAAGTCAAAACAAAGTGTAGGACTTTTACACTTCACTGGGTTCATGTCTCACTCATGTGGTTGGTTTTGCTATTGCTACATAGCTAACTTTAGCATTAACAGCTGTTTATTTACCAGTCTAGACTAGTCAAACAACAATCGCATTTTGTCTCTCCCTACTGGTAAAGAAATTACACAAACACCGTTGACGTATTCTGAGTTCGAAGACAAAAATACATTATTTACAGTAGGTGAATGTAATAGCTACATAGCCTACTTCAAATATTGTAAAAATACCAACCTGTCAAAGAAGAAAAGCCATACCGACCGAAATCTGTGTTTGTCCTAGCCGTGGAGTTGCTGCATGGGTTGTTCCAAGTTGCTGTAGCCTACTCTGTCTCCTTTGTTACGGTTGCTCCCTTCCTCAGCTCTGACAAACCAATCATTGCTGGTTGACGTAAAATGAATCGCTACTGGTGCTCCAGCGCCAGCGGGAATGTCACCACGGACACGGTGCTGATAGGCTTGAATGTAAAAGTCCCATACTCCAACTTTAATGTTTTCAGTATTTGGCGTCTTGGCAAGTGGGGTTATGTTTCTCTAAAGAGCATATTTGCTGTTGCAGATTAGTAGTCTATAGAAGTAATTTCTAGTAGGCAGGGTCGCTCAGACTTGCTAAATATTTATGATGTTGACTTACTCTGCTGTTGCACTGACTTTACAGTAATTCACTGGGTAGCAGTGTAAACTGTGTACCATGCAAATAAAATACACAACACAGTTGAGTGTGTGTACGTAGAGCTACAACAGTAACACTCAGGCACACACTCCCTGCCTTGCTCCCAGGAGAAACACATATAGGCACAAACATATTTTTCTAAAGATTCCAGCTTGCTTAAGGTGGTCTCATACATTATTCACTCTCACTCTGAGATCCACCACCATTTATCATGTCAAACACACTCTCCAACTCACACACACACTCACACACACACACGCTGTGCTGCAAATACACTTGTCTCCAAGACTCTCTTCTCATACACACCTGCCACTGGGCTTACACAGTACAAACTGTATATTCACAGCCACACTCACTCTTTCACACACACACACATGCACACACATTCTCAGTAGACTTGGTGGCCACTGGATTATCATGCTACCCCCTGGCGAGACTGACAGGTGTGTCAGTGTGTGTGTATGTGTGTGTCAGGCTGTCTGGGGACCCCCTTCTTGGTATTTATTAGTTCTGGACAGCTGAGGTGCTCGGCGAGATCTCTATTTAGCACTTCCGACTAATTATCATACACACATCCGAAGCTGGTGCTGAATATGTGCAATTAGCCCTGGACCGCCCACGTTATTTAGCCACTGGCTAACTTTGCCTACCAAATCCCCCTGTTGGCTTGTGGGCTTAAATAGGTCCCTGCTGCCCTTTTAACACTTGTGCTACTACATAACAGGCCTGGCAACCTGTTACACTGAAACCACAGAGCTTTCATCTGCACTGGACAGCAGCTTTCCCACTGGGTTTGAACACTTGTCACATGAACAACAGCAATGTGATATTTTGATTCCACGTGCATGACAAGGACTTAAAGGCAGAGCTAAAGAATGTTGCATCAGAAAGAAAATTTATTGTTGCATTGTTAAAACAAAATAGTTTCAGAGCACATACAAAATAAAGGAAAAAAAGCTATAGCCTGTCCCCATGACGTCGGTGTGTGCAGTACTTTTTTGGTGTTAATTACCTCTGTAAACTTGTAAGAGCCCTCAGTTCTGACTATTAGTACTTGCACTGATGTGGTTGGATGTCTGTAATGAGCAGGTGCTTGTTCCTGAGATCACTCAGCTAGAATTACCTTACACATACACTCCTGTTGAAAGATACCGTCTCAATATGAGTTTGATACAAAAGGCTGCTCTGTACAGAAGCGTAATGCATTCATTTGAGAAAAAAAAATGTTTCCCCTGTTTTTTCTGAATGAATGACATTAATATCTCAGAATTCTGAGAAAAGTTTTCATGGAAAAATAAAACCTCTGAGATAATAATCTCATTAATTCAGGAAAAACAAGAAATTCTACACTACACTGCCCAAAAACAGGGCAAGCCTTTTTCTTCTTAGGTGAATGCATTACGCTTGCGTAGCTCTGTTCTAGTCCCATTTTAATCTGATTTTGGTGCCAGCTTCACCTTAACTATTAGTCTTTTAAGCTTCGAGGCAAAAACCCTGATTTCCTTCTTCAGTGTGTCTTTTCCATGTTGATCACTACTTTCCAGGATGGGCAGGTGTGGCAGGTTTTTAGTTGTTTAGTTCAGCGACGTTTGAGGTACAAGACTGTTTAGAAGAGAGATTAAAGCCAAGCCCGCAGTTTGTGTCACAAGGTTTTTGTGTAATCTGTAGGAGTATGTCAGGGCACATCAGTACCATCACATGACTTGCCTTTAAAGTCTCTGTAATGTATACAGTCACCTCAGGTTGGAGCAGGGCATTTTTTTTTACTTCTTATGTATCTAAAGTCTCTTTTAAATGTGAAGATACTTTGTCTATTCCGTGTACCGGATCAAATTGCTGTCAAGAGGACTCACTTTAACTTTATGTACTCATATGTTCATGATACTTGTGTGTCACGTTTCATCTCTCCAAATGGAGTTTTAAATGCTTATATTATTATAAATGTGTGGCTGCAGAAGGGGCGTCTCTTGCGTTGTGATTTATTTGCTGCAGATTTGACCTGATTGTAAATTGACAACAGTTGTTTTAGTTTTATATTTGTGACTTTTAAGGGATTAAGTACACTGTTAAAAATGTTGTATTGTTTTACAGTTATATTCCAAATATAAACTAATAGAATATAACATATTGTCTATTGAAGCAGGTGGGCTACAGCACTGTGTAAAAAAAAAAACAAACACAAAAACAAAAACAACACATTTCTCAGTATTTTGAATGCAGGAATTTATTTATTTATAGGAGTTTATTTTTAATAATGTTTGATGTTAACTAAATAGTTTTACAATGTGTGTTTCATTTTCTACTACTATTATGTTTTTTATAGTCCTACCTTCACTTAAGTAATGCATTTAGTACTTTTATACCATCTGTTTAAAATAAGTATGACTCATGATTTTCAGAGAGAGCCTTTTTTGCCATTGAACTGTTTTGCTTGGTTTGGTATGTTATTAACATCCTACATTTTCTTTTTCTTTTCACCCAACCACAATTGTTTTTGTGTATTTGGTTTTTCTTTCTGGTGGAGTTTAGTTTTGTTTGGTTGGGCTGGGTTTGTTTGGATTTCCTCTTTCTTCCCTCTAACCGTATCCTTGTCTCTGTGTGTCAGGTCCAGGGTGTAAGGGGAGCAGCAGGTCTCCAGGAGCTCCAATGCCAGTGGACATGCAGCCACACCAGGGGCTGTATCACTATGAGACCTCACCCAGCCAGCCCTCCAGAGGGTAAGACAGCAGTTAGCCTATGGCTGTGTCCTCACGCACTACTCTGTAGCTGCATTTAAACTCTGCTGGTCATGGTGGAATACACAACTGTTTACATGAGAGAAACTGGAGGAATAGTTCAACATTTGGGGAAATATGGTTATTTGAGTACAACGGGAAGGTTAAAAAGCCTACTGCTCTCATGTCTGTGTGTTATGTAATCAGACAGAGTCGGGACATGGTTAGCCTAGCTTAGCATAAAGACTGGAAACAGGGGGAAACAGCTAGCCTGGCTCCCTCCAAACTTAGAAAATATAGACTCCTTAACTTTTTGACCGGGAATTCAAACCAAGATACGCATTTTTTATATAGATGTAAAACAACTTTTCAGTGTATCAACCAACATATATGGAAATATTAATATGAATTAATGCAGGCTCTAGTGATGCGTTGGAGCTATTTCTTGATGAACAATAGTTTATCTAAACTCCCGGCACTTCTGTGCAGCATGTTGGCACGGGTTTCCATATACGGTCAGTGAGCACAGGTTTTGGTCTGTGCACAAGCATGAAAGTATCAAACCTGGCAAGTTCACAGTGACAACAAGGCTTTGGTAAACTGCAAACATTCACTGAGTTCCATATATTCATTATATTTTTGTTTACACACAAGTTCAAAAAGCGAGATACATTTACAAGTGTTTGTAGGTGTATTTTTGAACGTTGGACAAAGCCAGACGAGCTGTTCATTCTTGTTTCCAGTCTTTATGCCGAGATATTGATCTTCTGATCTCACCCTCGAAAAAAAAGAAAATAAGGATTTTCCAAATCATTGAACTCTCTGATCTTGCTACAAGTGCTAATCTCATTCTGTTTTCCCACATGTCTTCAGTCCCTAGAAATTACAAATTATATTTCATCCTGAAGAACTAGAAACTGTTCCTGTTTTAACACGGGGATATTATGAGGGCACAGAAGCAATTGTTGTGGACACAGTACAAGCTCAGCCCCTTCAACCCCCGCCCCCCTCCCCCCCCCCGGCTGCCTTCTACATGCCCCCGTCTCTACTCCTCTCCCCTCCCCTCCCTTTCTCGCCTCCTTCTCATGCCACCCAGGTTGCGGGTGGACTCGGCCTCTCTCTGACAGCTGCTAATTACAGGCTGACCAGGCCCTGCTGCGCTCTGCATGACTGCCTCGCGCCCCGCTCAGGTTACCCAGAGTGAGGGAGAAGCGGAGAGAGTTGGAGAGAAAGGTGGCTGTGCAGGACAGAGAAAGACAGAGGAGCAGGAGGAGGAGGAGGGAGAAAGGAAGAGGAGATAGAAAGAGACAGAAATGACAGAGGGGCTAGAGAGTGAGAGAGAGGGAGAGAGAGAGGGAGAGACAGAGAAGTAGAACAGAAGGGATGAATGGGAGGAGAGAAAGGGAGAAAGGACTGAGAATAGGAGGGAGGTAAATTCGGGGGGAACCGGCACAGTGGATTAGAGAGGACAGATTAAGCTCCTGTGTGGAATACACGTTGTGGCGAAAGAATTAAAGAACTGAAAGGACGTCTTAGGAGAAGGTGGATGGATGAAGTCTGTTCCTTTAGGAGAGGAGCGAGACAGAGGAGAAGAGCAGCAGGGACCGAGTTTGAACTAACCAGTGAGACTGAGGAAAGGTCAGAGAATACATTGAAATTCATGAGAAGACTGGAAAGTTCCATTGAAGCTTCACTTCTAGTTTGGAAGGGGAAAACCCAGATGAGTAAGTTTCCACAGTGTAGACCAAGATAAGGCCTATACGCCATCTACTGGTGAGAAGGAGACATCACAACAGATCAGGGTGAAGTTGGGAATATGGAGTTTTTTTTCCCCCTGACTTCAGCGCTTCAGGCAGTGCGTTTTTTTTTTTTTTTTTTCAGGCTGTCTGTTCCTGCTACTGTAAATGCTTTAGCTTCTATATGAAGTTGTATTTATAGAAGTTGTGTCATTTGTATAATCTTCTCTCACTATGAGGGTTCAAAAGTGACACATGATGAACCTACAAGAAACTATTCCACAACACACAGGAAATGGAAAAATCAAACATTCTTTCAATTAGTTATTGATTAATTTTTTTTTACATTTTAATGAATTCATTAATTAATTAGAAGTTTATCGCACTCATTTATTTATTCACTTATTTATTTCACGTGTTACGTTTGGGCCCTGATACTTTCCTAGACCACCAATGAATATTACTTATCTGCCTCTCAGTGACTTGCAACACTGTTGACTGCCCCTCTTCTCTGTTATTACATTAAAACAGCTCGTCCTCAGGTTGAGGAATAGGAGAGTCAGAAGTCACATTAACAGAACAAGAAAGATGTGCTGTGTGTTGACGTGTTGCACATTTATTGCTTCTCTGATACTTACTCTGATATTTAGAGAGCAATGTACTATGCACTATTTTCTGTTATTTTCACAGCTCCCATCGCGAGTTTTGGCAGCAGCCATGTCTCACATTAAGTTCACTTAATTTTCATAATTTATATATTCATACCTATGATATGTGTGTTTCTTGGATATTTGCAGCCTAGTCCCATCAGACCAGTCTCCCTACAGTGATGTGTCTTCGCTCCGTGCCCCACTCCTCAACTGCCCTCCCCAGGACTGCCGAGCTATGTATAATCCCATGACTCCCAGTATGACTCATGGATCAGGGCCAGGACAGGGGATTGGCCACTGCATGGATCAATACATGAGGCCCCCTCAGGCCCCACCGCCCCACAGTATGATGGGCCACCGGGGCATGCCGCCCACAGAGAGTGAGTCAGAGTATCTTTTACACCTCCTGAATCTCACAGCTGCTACTGATTTGGACTTAAAGATACCTGAGAGACTGAGTAGGAAACAGAAACTACCTAGTGTTCTACGATAGCTTGCAGAAAAAATGGACAAATCAAAATTACTCAGTTAACCTTATGTGAACTAGAGATAAAAAAAAGAAACCCTGTAAACATTAAATATGTAAATAGTGAACAGTGAATCTAATGTAAATGATGTACAGATGCCATCTTCTGACTGTTACGGTGTGGCTTTTACATAACAATGTAATAATAATAATTTAAAATGAGTTACTAGTGTGGATGCTGTTACCTGGCATTACAATGCAATTTCTACCTCATGTTTCTGACCTTGCTGGTTTTTACTATTATGTCTCATCCTCTTTAAAAATACAGTGAAGTATCTCTCTTCCTCACTTCACTGCATTTTCAACATAATGCGTTGTTGAGAGTTTAAACATATGAACACTGGCCTCAGTAGCCAAGCAACCATCTGTCTGCTTCACACACACACACACACAACCTGAGAGATATTAATGTTGCTGTCTGTTTCTGTCTATCCTTAATGCTGTGCAGGTGGCAATAGCACCCCCTACTGTAACCAGAACAACATGATGTCCTCTCATCATAACTTCTGCCAGGTTCAGCCTGGCTCTGATCAGATTGGGTCTGGTGATGGTAAGGGATCACTCACAAAGTAATGGGGAAGTGGTGTGCACTGTTTGGATTTAAATTTGAATAAATCTTTTGTGTCTTCAAAGCTAACCCTCCTGCTCTTGTTGTCCCCCCCCCCCCCCCCCCCCTTCTGTAGGCTCAAGGTTCTCCACACCTCGTTCCATGCTGAAGCTGAGTAAAAAGAGAGCTCTGTCCATCTCTCCTCTGTCTGATGCCAGTGTGGACCTGCAGACAGTAATCCGGACATCACCCAACTCTTTAGTGGCCTTTGTCAACTCTCGCTGCAACCCCAATGGAGCCAGCTCCTATGGGCACCTCTCTGTGAGCGCCATGAGGTCAGATATTTCGCAAATGTCCACATTCTCCTATATATTTAGATATTTATTTTATTGATATATATATATATTTATTTGATGAATTTGAATACCTCAATGGTTCATATTGTCTTTTCTGTTACTTCGCAGTCCGTCCCTGGGTTATTCCAGCAATATAAACTGCCAGTCCAGGCAACAAGGTTCCATGTACAGTGGAGGCGGGGGGACACCTCTAGGTGGACACACACCAGGTCCCTGCCAAGCTTCCCGCTTACCTCCGCACAATCCTCGACTCCACGTTCCACCCAAGCATGGACATGTAAGACGGCTCTCTCACTCACTTTAGAAAGCGGTCAGAGCAGTTCAGTATCAGTGCGCCTTCAGTTACTGACAGCCGGAAGAGGAGGCATGGGAGGAGGGAATAGGAAGCTCAGGCAGGTCTATGATGAGGAGAATTTAAAATCGGTGTTAATTGCATGAAGGTGAATGACCGTGAGAGACAGACACGGATTGTGCAAGACAGATGAAACATAGTATGATGTGTGTATTGTTTTGTAGCTGAAAACGGAGCCAGGGCTGGGAGGTGTGATGGATGGCATGAATGTGAAGAGCCTGGAGGAGAGGTCAGAGGGGGACGTGGCTAGTCCTTCTTCCACTGGCACTCAGGTACAGTATCGCTCTTATTCTCGTAATGGGTATTTATATTTTAGTTTTTGGCCTTGGCAAATACGCATACAGGAATAGAAAAGCTTTTGTGTGTGTTTAATGTCAAAATGATGTGGAGTCAAGAAGAGTAGGTGGAAGTCAAGAATGGCTCTTTGTGATGTTTTTGCTCTGACACATAAAACAGGTATTGTTTCAAAGTATGACAATTTTCTTGCCAAAATTATACGATCATCATCACATACAAAGATACATTTATGCATCTTTTATGGTCAGTTTTTTTTATGTGGCTTTATTTGGAAATTAACCTCCATCATATCAACAGTGGATGGCATGACTGGCTGATATCTAATATGCAATATAAAGAAAACATAAGTAGCTTTAAGACAAGTGCACATAGTAAAATTTGATATGTTTGTTCAGTACTTTTTTTTTTTTTTTTTTAATTTTAACCATTTTTTTGTTTGTGCACATCAGGACCCTCTCCTGAGTCTACTGGACGGCAGAGATGACTTGGACAAAGAGGATGGGAAACCTGAGCCAGAGGCCGTCTATGAAACTAACTGTCGCTGGGAAAGCTGCAACAAGGAATTTGACACACAAGACCAGCTAGTTCACGTAAGAAATACTGATGAAAAAATGGAAGAATTGAGTTGTTCTTGAGCAAATCCAAGGTTGCATTTTCATATTAATCCCTCTTTTACTGAAGCATTTGAGTTAGGGTATCTACATTGTATCACTGTGATCATTAATGTGTCTCCCTTTACTGTTTACTCTGCAGCACATCAACAATGAGCACATCCACGGAGAGAAGAAGGAGTTTGTGTGCCACTGGCAGGAGTGCTCTCGAGAACAGAGGCCTTTCAAAGCCCAGTACATGCTGGTGGTTCATATGCGCAGACACACAGGAGAGAAGCCACACAAGTGCACTGTGAGTCAATCTTAAATCTCCACACACACACACCCCACCCCCCCAGCTTCCAAATGGATTCACTACCAGGTGGCAGGTCAGGGTGACCTCAGTGAGGGGCCTGTCCTCTGTCCTGATCCTATCATACCTTGCTAATTTATTTTACCAAGCAGCACTGTAAGATCTTTTCTTTTTCTCCCTTTGAAGACACAATAACGCCTCTATTTTAGTTTCAATATGAAACTCATTAAGAACAGGTTTTCAGGGGTCACAAGCCTTGTTGAAATCATTAATGCAAGGGGGAAAGGGATATTAATCCTCTATAAAGCTCTTGAAACTACACTGAATGCACTGTAGCTGAAATACAGTCTGGCTGTAGGATTCTAGGTCTGTAGCTGAAACTTTCATTGATTTACTATTTCTGTTTTTAGTCTAGACTATTGGAAGATGTTTTCTTAATTGCAAAAATGTAAATGTATGTGATGATTTGTTATGTTGCCATCAAGTTTATGGTTAAGTGTCTTGTGAGCCTATATGGGCTGGGCACCAGATAAGGTGCAGGACACTCTAATAAACAATATTCATTCATTGATTCAATATTTATATTTGTATTTCTGTCTCAGTTTGAAGGCTGTAACAAGGCTTACTCTCGCCTGGAAAATTTGAAGACCCACCTGCGCTCTCACACTGGGGAGAAACCATACGTGTGTGAACATGAAGGCTGCAACAAGGCCTTCTCCAATGCTTCAGACCGGGCCAAGCACCAGAACCGGACTCACTCCAATGAGGTACCGTAGTGTAAACCACTGAGTAATTATGTAATTTTATGTGCATATAGTTTGAAAGCTAATATCAGCATTTGTCTTGGCTATGTACAACATATAATCAGTCCAAGGCAGATAACTGATAGATGCTTTTTATTCAAATAAGTTAATATGGGAGTCTGGTGGAGATTCACACTTATGCAAATATTTTGTATGTTCACAATGTCAAGTTTAAAAAAGAAGGAAAAACATTTGTGCAAACCATTTTTAATAGTTTAGGCCAAGAATGACCAATGAGACACTCTCAGATGCAGTTACACAAATTATGCTATGCTAGACTGTCTCCACACGAACATCGTTTTTTGTATAGACTGACACCTTGTTCTTTTGCAGAAACCTTATGTATGTAAGATCCCAGGCTGCACTAAGCGGTATACAGATCCGAGCTCTCTGCGAAAACACGTGAAGACGGTGCACGGCCCTGAAGCCCACATCACCAAGAAGCATCGGGGAGACACAGGCCCTCGACCGCCTGGCTCAGCTATGACCCCTGGAGGGCAGAACTCTGAACTGCTGCTGGAGAAAGAGGAGACACGCCGGGAGGACTGCAAACTGCTGGCTCCTGAGACTGCTCTGGTGAGTGCTAAATTTTATTTATAACCTGCAAGGTTCTTTCAATATAAGAAAATAAACAAAACTCGTTACACTTTGAAAAAGACGGTCTGTAATTTAAAGTATACATGACAAGGCATTTACCTCTTTCAGAAATCCCAGCCAAGTCCTGGTGGTCAGTCATCCTGCAGTAGCGAACGTTCTCCACTGGGTAGCGCCAACAACAACGACAGTGGGGTGGAGATGAACCTAAATGCAGCAGGCAGCTTGGAGGATCTCACAGCACTGGAGGATGGAGTAGCAGGTGGAGGAGGAGGGGAACCAGGAAGTGTAGGAGGAGCAATGGGAATGTCGGCACAGGCTTTGAAAAGGCTGGAGAACCTGAAGATTGACAAGCTGAAGCAAATCCGCAGGCCTACTCCTCCTGGCCGCTGTGCCAGCAACAAGTTACCAACGCTTCCTGGTAAGTTCTATGGCGAAGTTATTCATAAATAATCAGAATTTTGTAATCATGCGCATATTCTTTGTTTATATTGATTGATGTTGATTTGCGAATTGTACAAAATAGAATTTTTCTACTGGGCTGAAGGATGTTACAACATAACAGACGTATGACTGACAGAGGGTTCAAGGATTGTTTCAGTGTGATGTTTTAATTCTTCTAAAATCAAATGAAATCAAAATAAACATTCTTGGTTTGTATTGATAAATATATATCTCTAACCTGTTGGATGTACATTTTCAGGTACAGGGGAGAATATGGGAATGTGTGCACCTTCTCCGCTCCTCTCAAATCGACGTGTTATGGAGCTGTCTAACCATGAGTTAGGAGGTGGAACTTCGATTGGCTGCTCTACTAATGACAGGAGAGGAAGCGGCACCAGCAGCCTAAGCTCTGCGTATACAGTCAGCCGTCGCTCCTCCATGGTGTCTCCTTACCTGTCCAGTCGGCGCTCCAGTGAGGTCTCACAAATGGGAGGAACGGCAGGGGGAGGATGTCACGTCCTCGGCCCAGAGCAGAGTGGGGGAGACCCCCTCTCTCCTGAGACCAATCGCAGAGGAGCTCCATGTCCTGGAGGAGGGGGATTGCCAGGTCTTCCTAATTTAACACCCGCCCAGCAATACAGTCTAAAGGCCAAATACGCTGCAGCAACTGGTGGACCGCCACCTACTCCTTTACCCAATATGGAGCAGCCAGGAACTCCGAGCAGAAGAGGTGTTTTGAGTGAGTACCAGGGGCAGCCTCTGCCTCCTTTCCTTCAACAAGCTGGCCCACGTAGGCACAGTGCCAACACTGAGTACGGCACTGGTGTTATCTACCCTCACCAGGCTCCAGGCAACAACATCAGGCGAGCCAGTGACCCGGTGCGGTCAGCAGCGGAAACACAAGCTCTCCCGAAGCGCTTCAATAGCCTTAATAATGTAGCCATGATGAGCCGAAGGAATGCACTGCAACACCGTGGCTCTGACACCAGTCTTGCCCGCCACATGTACTCCCCTCGGCCGCCCAGCATCACAGAGAACGTAATGCTGGAGGCTATGAGTATGGAGCCCCACCTTGCCCCTGTTGATGCTAGGGATCGTTCCATGATGATGCCCCCTGGAGAAAGAAGCTTTATGGGATATCAGCAACAGCATCAAACTCTTGGCGGTGGAGGTCCTCTTTCAAACCAGCTGTCCCCAAGCCATGACTCTATGGGCTGTCCAGAACAGGGTTACATGCAGGGGCACTTCCAGAACCAGGGAGGGGAAGTTATTTCCAGAGCTGGTGGAAATCCAATGGGCCAAGCCAGGCCTATTCACCCAGAGGGCATGTCCAATACACTTCTCCAGCAGGCTGAGTACAGTATGAGCACCTGCCAGCTCAGTCCCTCAGGTCCCCATTATCCCAGTATAAGCCAGGGTGGTGACGCTGGAGGCCCTTGGAGTGACGCCCACAGCCAAGTCCAAACCTCCAGCCATGCTCTCCAGAACCAGCGAGGAATGCAGTATTCAGATCCCACCCTGCAGCCTCAACAGTCACAGGCCCACTTCAACAATCAGACTGGCCTCTATAACGGTCCTGATGGAACCCACAAACTCACCATCAAGCCTGAGCAGCAGTTCCACCCTGGGATGGGAGGCAGAGACGCCTGTCAAAGTGCTAAGCTCCAACAGCAGCGGATGCTCCTTCAGCAGACTCAGGGTTACCCGCAACAGACAGGCCAGGTTATGATGAGGAACTCTAACAATCCCAGTTGTGATTTTCAAGGGCAGAACCAAAAGTCTTACCCCAGTGGAGGTGGCTTGAGTTTAGGTTGCGCCGGGTCTGCTCTTTCAGATGGGCAAAGGTCAGAGACCCCCATGATGCAGGTGAAGGAAATGATGGTCAGGAACTATGTACAGTCCCAGCAAGCACTCATGTGGGAGCAGCAACAAGAACAGCAGCAGCAACAACAGCAGCAGGGTGGAATAAAACCTACTTCTCTTCCTGACAATATGGATATGAGCGGCCAGACAGCAATGATGCAGCACAGTCCACAGCACCAAAACCAGAATCTTTATTCCAACCAACCCTATCCTTCCTACCCCAACCAGAACCTGGTCATGAGCCCTCCGGACCACAGCCGAGGGCCCAGCTCGGTGACACCTAAAGACCAGCAGCTGACAGGTCTCCCAGGCTCATGCTATGGCCAAGAGATGGTGGTGCCCAGGCCTCCTCAGGGCCGGAAACCTCTCAGCCGTCAGAACAGCCTGTCACAGGTAGGAGGAGGCTACCTGGGCAGCCCACCCCATCTCAGCCCTGTCCACTCTACTACCAGCCCCAGACGAGGGGTCAGACTGCCCCCAGTCCAGCATCCACAGCACCAACAAAATGAAATGTTCTCTCCTTCCAATAACAACAACATGTACTACTCTGGTCAGATCAACATGGATATGGAGAAACACATGGACCCCCAGAATGGGCCTTGTATCAATCAGCAGCATAGTATGACGTCCAACCTGGATCCAACAGGTGGCACTAAGTCTGCCCCCATGGCTCCCTATCCTGAGTCGGGCCCCATATCCAATGCCTTAGAAAACCTGGACCTGGACAATGCTCGCATAGACTTCACCTCCATCATTGATGATGCCGAGTCCTCCTCATTCAGCCCAGTCAACAATCCCCTCCAGGGTCAGCCGGGATCCTCCTCCCAGGCCTCATCCCGCCTCACCACCCCTCAGACTTCTGTCAGCCTAGCTGCAGGCTCTGGCCTGTCCAACATGGCTGTTGGTGACATGACATCCATGCTTACCTCGCTGGCTGGGGAGAATAAATACCTGAACACATTGTCTTAGAAGACAACTCTTAGGCATATATTCAGACTATCAATCAATTTTAGCCTTTGGCAAGGTCTTTATGTAACCAGCCTGGGGTTTAAAATGCTTAACTCCTGTTGCTTATAGTGATTTTCTCTTGTACATTGCAAGAAAGGTCAGTTAGGGTAAGACAGACAAACTTTTGAATGGAACATTTCTGTAATGGATCATTACTCTGGGCTGTTTTATACTTCCCCATAAGCCTTTATACATAAACCTGACACATTAACCCTTGTTCGAGCCAGGACCCTCAACTGGCAAGGGGTCTGTTGCTACTGGATACGCATGTAACAGGAATAACGTCATGTTGTAATGCGTTCTGGTTGCAAGTTGAGACGAAGGCTTACTAATGTGGTCCCATCACAGGTTTCAAAATTGTAAGAATCCTCGCCGTAAACCTTAAAACCAAAGGTGCCTGATCAATCTCCCTTGCTGTATTCTTCCTTCACTGCCTTGGTACTTGGTAGTTTTCTGTGCCCGAGACACAGACTTAAATGCCTGATATGAAACTGATACTGAACTTTTTCCAAACAGGCATTCCAGTCACAGGGCTGTGGCAACAGTAGACCAGAGAAGGATAGGCCTACATGTAAATAAGTTTTATATACATTTATATATGTTGTGTATATGACAATGAGACATCCCCTGTCTCGTGATCGACTGCTTGGATTGTGAAGGCCAGTGTTCAGATGGGAGTTAGTAAGATGGTTGTTTTGAAAGGATGAGAAAGATACGCTTTTAGTCTTTGAGAAATAATTTCTTGGTGCTACTAAATATTAATCTGTATTGCTAGGGATTTCTTCCTTGTCATGAACATCGCAATCTGTACCAGTGGCATATCAGTATTCCCACAAATGCACACACAGACACACACATAGTATTCCTACACATGTGCAAATGCAGACACAGATGCACACATAGCCTACACACAGACACTCAGGACTTTGAATTTTGAATCTTTGCTGTTCAAATTATGTTGTAATTGCCTTTCCAGACAGAGAGTTTGCACTCCACATGTTTACTGTAAGTGTTCCTGAAGCAGCTGTGTACATTTTTCAGTGGTGTTTATAACTGCAAAACAGAAAGTGCCTTGCTCTTTCTAAGGTACATACATAAGGGGTTACAAGTAAAGCTCAAATATAATATGTGCAGCAATCCCCTCCACATTAAAATATGTCTGATATATTCATACATACTGCATTCGCTCAACATTAACCAGACCTATGACTCGTACATGACTCAGCTGAGGATGACGGCTATTTTAATTAAACCCGAATCAGCTGCTTTGTATTTGTAAACAGATCAGTAATAGTTGTCTATATTTGAGAAATGGAGGTACATTCATAGTACAGTGCTGCTGCACTTTCTCTCTTATCCCAAAGAGGAGTTATTTGGAAAAATCTGCATTACTAATTCAGGATAGGGGATCAAGAAGCAGGAATTTTATCACTTGCTACCACTGTAGTAAAATACATATTGTATAGGTACATTGAGGTACATTGAGGTACTTTTTGTGCGACTGTTGAGCTGCGTCATGTGAAAGAAGGCTGCAGCTCTTGGCAGGAGAACTAATTTTACACTGTGGCTTTGCACTGACTACAGCACTGTGTGGAAAGGTCTCTGTCTCTTATGACTATTCACATGAACCTCATTTTGATAAAAGTAAAGAATTGTCACAGTATTTTGAAATAGTCATTGAAGAACACATCTGAGCACCGCTAGACTCAATAAGGCCACATGAAAGTGTTGCTGAAGCATTTTATGTGACTTTTCAGAATTTACTAGTAGTGTCACTTCAAAGTGTTACTAAGCATTAGCAGGAATGAACATGCATTCATTTTGGAAAAAAGTGTACGACGTACCAAAGACACCTTAAAACGACTGAGAAAAAGATGCACAAATAGTCTATTTTAACACAACACTAACACTAGCAATAAGCAACATTGACTGATAGTGCTGTTCTTTAGAATGTATGAGATGTTTTGTATAAAATTATCTTTTTATATTAATGAACTTTATGGATGTTGCCTTCTATATGTGTCTGTGTGTTTTTTTGTTTTTTATTTTTTTTTTATAACTGTCATCCTTCATTCGGACTTTTTTGCTGGCAAAAGAATATCACCTTTAGCAACAGAAAGCTATAATAGTAGCATTAACTATAATAGACAAAAGCCAAGTGTTATATTTTGTGTACAATTTTCTACATTTTTATACAAATGTGCTATATTTTACCAGTTTATGAATAAACATGTTCAGTTTGGGATGGATGCAGAATGTTTGTCAAACATTTTTCTTTTTGTGTGTTGTGGTGTGGCTTTGTGTTTCCTTACAGCAGTACTCAGATTGTTGTAACAAGCTATATTTACACATTTAAAATTTTAAGGAGACAGGTTTTTAGCTCATGTGTTGTGATTGTAATTTTAGGATGAGGAGTCAAATATCCATAAAACAAGTGTACTTCTATAATATGGGTATAAAGAATGCTCGCTCTGCTGGATTACATTTGCTTACGTGCCTTGTGGATTAATGCAGTGACTCCTTTCCTCCAATAGAGTGCAGTACCGCCTGAGAACAAGCACAGACAGCCGACAGTATTTCATTCACTTCAAATGAAGGCCCATAGCATAACTTGAATGCAGAACTTCCTACATAGCCCAGCTGTACTATCTGCTTTGCATAATTGTGATCCAGCAGAATCCACCCCATAATTTCTAAAAGTCTAACCAAGTGGGCAAACAGAGGATATTAATCTGACATAATTGTTCCCACAGGCTGATTGGAAAACCCCTTGTTATGAATATGATTTAAGCCTGCCTGTCATGGCAGCCTTTTATGCGCCACAGTGATCTGCTAGGCTGCTATAATAAATAAGTGGATGAGCGTTAAAAATGGCTAATGTTTATGACATCAGTGCCTGGACAGGCTCTTTGTGGTCGATGGGCACTGGCAGTGTGGGCTGCTGAATGCTGTAAGAAAGAAAAACTGCTGCTTGTAAAATATTATCAACATCACATATATTCTCTAAAAGACATCTGTGAGAGGCTGATGGGAAAACTGGGAGAAGAAATGGGAGTTAAAAAGTTCATACCCATGATACTGTGTCATATGACACTGTATACCAGTGGTTCTCAATCTTTTGGGCTTGTGACTCCTTAAAGTGAAGTCATGTCTATTTGTGACCCCACATCACAGGATATGGTGGTGTGGAAGTGAGTTATGAGCTGTGCAACCAACGAGTGATTTTTCCCGCAGATTGAAGCAAAATTAGAGAAAAGGCAGAAGAAATAAACATAATTTTGTGTAACAGGGGTATTTTTTTCCTTCTCATCCCTTTAAACACCCCTCAGATTTATCTTGGCATGCATGACGTATCCTTCTGCCAGGTTGAGAACCGCTGCTGTTCACTTACTTAAACTACACAGCTACAAAGTAAAACTGATATCCTAATTAGAAATAATTATAATTAACGATGAGTAATTAGACCATGACTACTGGAAATATTGAAGTTATAGTTTCATAATTGTTAAAGTCTGTCTCAAAAAAATATTCAGGTACCCGTATGATCATTGAAACAACTTTTTCTTGCTATAATTATTCCTCCAGTTAATACTTTTCAAAATGTGGGTTTATGGGGAACAAAATCTTTCCTCCTTCCTTCCATGTAAAAATATATTGAAAACTTACTTAAGATAATATAGGGATTCAGCCAGTTAAACAAATCAAGTGGGGATCTTCCCAAGTTACAGTCATTTTAGTACAAAGTTATTTTTATCCCTTCACAAAGTTAAAGCTCAACAGAGAAACACAAACAGGGGATTTTAACTTTGGAGGATACCCACTTGATTTTATTAACTACACTGCTTATAGGCCTATGACTGCTGAAGCCTAATAATAACTTCATTTAAACTTTGCAATACATTTTTGGCCATCCCTTGCATTGAAAGTGCCTTAAAAAGAGTTCTTTTTATGGTCAATATGAACAGAAGGAATGATTTAATAAAGCAAAACCTTTTTCCAGTGTTCATATGTGCTCCTATTGTTTTAAGACAGACATGGTGATTAATTTCAAGAACTGCGCAAGCTGTAGCCTAGAATTGTCTGTAACCATAGCAACAATAGCTACAGTACTTCTGCCATGTGCAGCTTTACCAGGTAGGTAAACTAGTTGATTCCCATTTTCAAAAGACTATAAGTTAAACTGTCTACAAGCAAACTTTTTAAAACTTCATGAGGATTTGAACCCAAACCCACACCCATGGAAAGTGGCAATACACTCAAATATTACACTGCCCGCATCAGAATATTCTAATAACAGACTTCTCCGCCCTGTCTGTTTCTTTTTTTTCTTTTTTCTTTTTTGTTCGCAATTTTGTAAAACACCTTGTCATGTGTTATCACTTTCATTTAATCTGCTGTGTTTGGTGAAAGCTGACTTACAGTAACCTTTTAAAACACCACCACTACCATTACTTTTTACAGTGTTGGCTCATATTGCTTCAGGGGCCCCAGTGTGCTTAGACGATATTGGCATTGTGGTGTTGTGGCATGGCACAGTAGACTCACGGCAGCCACTACAGCCTGGCAGTGATGTTAAAGTTGACTCATTTGCTCCGAGGCAAGGGGAAGTTCTCCTGACGGACTACTGATTTGTAATCTGGCGTGTCCATCATTTCTGGTCTGAAACAATAGCTGAATCTCCCCACAACAGGATCGAATAGATTTTTTTTTATTTTTTTGAAGGAAGGGCAGCTCAGAGGGGATCAAAGAAGACGAATCCCACTTTTCAGTTCAGAATTTTATGGCAACATGTTGAATACACACGTTTGTGGAAATATTTGTGCACAAAACAACAACTGTCACAGCCGACAAAACAACTTGAGGTATTCACACATCAAAAGTCAACATTTAACTGTCACCCTTGCGATGAGGTGCACAAGCTAAAAGAGATCGGTGCTATGCTCTGTAGAGGAAATTGTTGTTGAATATATTGAATAGGCTTCCCTTTATTTGTTTAGTGTTTAGATTTCTAACTTAACTCCTTATTCAACACAATGATATAAATGTCAGAGGTAAATCACTGTGACCTTCACTGATTGTTTTCCTTAAACACTTTGGACCTTTTGGAAACTTTGTTTTGTCTCCTGCCTCAGGCCAAAGTGATTGTAATGCAAAACTGCCATAGTTTCTCTATCACAGAATTAGAGTGAGTGTGTGTGTGTGTGTGTGTGTGTGTGCATGTTTTTCTAAATTATATTCTTGAACAGGTTTGTGTTAGACTCTAATATGTATATAAAAAAAAAGTTAAATAGCACTGATGCGATGATAGTGTTGTCGACTCTCCACAACATGATCTCCACTCTTCTGTAGAGTTACAAATGGAAGTGCCAAAATAAGAACTGAGTTTTTCAAATGCAAAGAAGTGGGCAGCATAATGACTTTTCTCTTTTCTTGTCTTGCCATTCAGAAGGAGCCTTTTCTTTTCCTTTGTCACTTAGGTTGGCATATAATTAACTCCTGCTTAATATGCTGTTTAAGGGCTCTCCTCCCCATGCAAGATGCTTTGAACCCATAGACCACAGACGGGGACAAAACCCCAGTGGGACTGCTTCCTCCATGCTCCTCCGTGTGTGTGTGTGTGTGTGTGCGCACATGTGTGTGTGTGAGAGAGAGAGAGCAAGCAGTTGTTTCAACAAGACAACAGAAAACTAAAACTATACCGCCACAGCATTGCTGTGTCCTTGATACACTGCAACTACTGAGCCAAAACAAGAATGTGCACAAACATTCAATGCTCCAACCTTAGTCCATCAGCAATCACATGAGTAAACCCTGCACACAGCAGGGTTTAAAAGAGGTGCAGTAGGTTCATATTTCAAACTAATGAAGAGGGCTGTACCGTGAATGGTTGATTTATTGTATCTTTGACTGGTTAAACATATCAAAGAAAACGCAGCATGGCACTTTTTATTAAAGTCGAATAAACAATAAAACCTACAGCTCTAAACTTTAGGTACCATGTAACAAGCTGCAATTTGTCCATCTGCACATGTAAACAAATCGGCCCTCCGTCAGAAATGTACAATTTGATTGAAATCAGTGGATATGAATGAAAAACATATCGACTTCATTTCAAATACAACTTTACATAACTTTAAAAAAAAAAAAAAAAAACAGCTCCCAGGACCTCTGAAGCACCTCTGCACCTTTGTGACCCTCATCTGTAGCAAAGTTTATTGCCCCCTCCTCACCTCCCTCGCTTTCTCCTCCCTCTCTTCCACCCATCCCGCCACAAAGGGCGGTGATGACCCTTCTGTCCCTCTCTTTCTTCGGCCCTCCGCTCCCTCCCCACCTTCAGGATGCTTTCTCTTCCAGAATCCATTAAGAGACAAACCCCCCAGCAGTCGTGATGGGTGAAGGAATGAAGGGGGATGTAGTTTTGTGGTTTTTTTTTAACTATGAGCTGGTAATGTAGGGAAAGGGTCTTATGTAAAATGTGACCTTGGGCTCATGTAGAGTTGAAAGAGTAATAAGGTGGAATTTTTTAATCATTGTTATCTTCGTATAAAGTGTAATATGTTCATAATTAAGTATGATTATGGTAGATTATGAGGATTTCTACCAAAATGGCTTATCATTAAATTATTGTTTTAAAAATATAGGCTATGCCTCACTTCAATAATGCCTCTGTCTAGTCAGTTGTGACTTTTTTTTTATATGGGCAACAAATCTCATATGGCAGTGTAATAAAAGGCTTATACATGTGATAATGCTGTATAATTATTGGAATTTAACCTACTTTTTTTTTAAATTTCTCTAATCTCCTTCACTGTGCCAGTTTTGTTTACTCCGTTATTTGGCAGGACACATTATGCGTCGCGAAAAGCTACCCCACTCGCTTTTATTACCTCACAGAGTTACTAAGAGGTGGTGGTGGTGGTGGTGGGGCACTAGAAAGCCAAGGTGGGGGTCCTGAACGCTGCGTTAGAGTTTATTTCGGATGTTTTTTTCAGTTGCAAAACAGATTAAGGTCCAGGTTGCAACACAAAGGACCGTCAATGCACCACTTCCTACAGCCATCCAGGGGTGAATGGGGCGCAGGACGGGGTCCACTCCAGGGTACTTGAGCGCAGGTGCGACGTGCATAACAGTCGAGCCATAAACCACTGAGTGGAGGAGGAGGGGTCGAGGGGGGGGGGGGGGGGGGGGGTGCGCACATACCTGTTCCCATTAACCTGCAGTTAGTAGAATCTTCACCTCGTGGTGAAAACGTAGCGTGATGAGCCCAATTTGCATCTCGTCAACAGCCTGTAGATTAAGAAGATTTAGAAGCTCACAGCTCGGGCTCTGTGGGAGGATAAAGATAAGATAGAGAGGAATGAGATTTTCTGATCAGTTACAGCATCAAAAGTGATGAGGAAAGTCCCACATGAAGTCCATAAAGTCCCCCAATCGCTCTCATAATTTCTTCTGAACAGATTCTGAACAGTAGCCTAACTAAATTACCCAGAAGAAATGACTTCTTTTCATACATGTCGTTAATCGGCTTTGGATGATATGGTGGAGAAAAGTTAATGCCGTGAATTCCCACGTTTACATGAAGGAAACAAGCACATGCTGGGACATCGACGATCCTGGGATTCCCTCTCTGAAGAGGAGGTGCAGTGCAGCGAATTCGGGGGAATACATTGTCAAAGTATAACGGATGTTTTAACATGTTCACAGGCTGAGTGTGCGGGTCTTAACGCCATTTCTTAGTAAATGAGGAAGGTGAACGTCCACGATGCCAGGGGCTGACCTCAGGGCCAACCTCTGCTGCTGACATCACTCCTCCTCACGGCTCGTCGCCTCCGCTTGGAGTCTCATCAAGGTCTGAGTCTCCCGCTGTGACCGAAGGCGATGCCTCAACACCATTCATTCTGCAGGCAGGCACTCGGGACAAACGCACACACGCGCCGCTCCCCGGACAACTTTTTGAGACGAAATTAAGTGCGATGATGACAGAGGAAAGTCGGGGCAAACGAAGGAAACAAGCCAACCCGAGGAGAAACCGAGGTAAGAAAAACGCGCAGCGCTGGACAGTTTGAAGAAGTTGCTGAATGATGCAGGCAGATGTTGCGGACACGAGCCCTTCATGCGAAGCGCGTCGATTTCCTCTGGAGTTTGTTGAAAAACGAACATTAGACAGTGTTTCATCGCAGTTTGCACTACAGTCATATTTCAGACATACGTTTTTCTTTACATCCATGGCTTGAGGTTGTCTGATAGTATAAAGTACAGGGATGAGCAGTCCAACTTTCTACAGGCTGTCAGCCGCTGGGATTATTCTGTACATATAGGCTACATACCTGGGAAAAGCCGTGTAATAAAAAGTGCGAGGTAATCCTCAAGAAAAGCCCACAACCTATGGCTGCACGCGTTTTGTGAAATCTCTTGTATATTTTATACACCAGAAAAAGAAAAAAAAAAGTTCTGTCCAAAATCAAAGGCGGGTCGTGAACTATTTAGAAGAATCCACACTGCCTGAAACCTAACAGAACCAGATTTTGTTTATTTAACTAAATCGTTTTAATCAAACAGAAAGACTTCTTACAACACTTCACCTCACTGCGTCTTTTTTCTTTCTTCTTGACTTTAGTTTTGTGGCTGTTCACACTGGAAGCTTTACCTGCTCTGACATCTCTACTTTCTAGGATTTTGTTTCCCTTATTTTCTATATTCTGTGCCATGATAAAAATGATTCGGTATTTCACATCCAATTTTTCGCGAGTTTGATACAGTATTTTTTTTTTTAAAATAGAGAGTGTTCTCCATCAGAAAGAAAGAAAAATAATTTAGATGGTTTTGTTCATTTGATCCTCTAAATTGAAGGCACATTTTGTATATTTGATTAGGGTTTTTTTTCTTTCTCTAAATCCCTAAAGGCCACATTTACAACAGAATAGTATAGAATAGTTACTCTGAAAAATATGAAAGTTTTTCTGTCAAATGTAAAGGTTTAAAAATATGATTATTATATCACTTAAATGCAATTAATCTTGCAGATATTTAATCTTTTGAAACCTTCTGTATTTTCTTACATGACTATCAATCACCTCATCAAGAATTTGTGGATGGCCTGCGTTGACATTAAAGCTTAAGATGATGTCAGTTATCAGTTTCTGTGAAAGCACTTCCTATGGCAGTGCTAAGGGGAACTTGTTGACTGTACTGTGCTGAATATAGGGACTTTGTTGAGACTTTGTTCTGTCTGCATCAGGCAGTGCCTTGTTCTCAAGTGTGTGGCTCTGAACTCACACACTGGAGTAAGGATAAACACACTTGCACATGGATACACATGTAAACATTTGTTCTTCTCTCCTTCTGAAGAAGACTGAGCATTTATGTTAGAATCAAAATCCTGCCTCCCTAAAGCCAGACCTGCCAAAACTCTGAAATTATCCTCAGCTTTGAAAGTTTCTCCAACCCTGAATTAAACTGGCAGCCCCTGCCTAAATAACTCACATCTAAATCTGACCTTAAAACTTTAGAATAAACCTCATTCTGAATCATGCTAATACTAATGTAGTAAGTGGGAGATTACAGCCAGTGTCTTGCTGCTGGCTTTCTATTTAGTGCAAAGTTGTTGGGTAATGCAGGGATACCCTTAACAAACCCAACCAATAGCCCAAGTGCAAATGTAGCCTCCAACTGCCGTCATCTTTCTATCACAGAGAGAAGATTTTGACCCCAAAAACACACAAGACCACACACACACACACACACACACACATTTTGCTGGTTTTATTCTGTACTTTCTGGAGGTTCATGAAGGCCAGTGAAAGTCAGGCAGCTTGCTTGTTTGCCTCTGATCTGACACACAGCCGCCACAAACCTGTTTGCTGCGAGGACTCTGTTTATTTATATAGTTTATTAGTTTGCTGTAAGTGTTTCCTCATTTTATTCAGAGAGGTGTGACGCTCAGCAGAGTGTCACCAGGGTGAGATCCTCTCTGGCTGCTCAGCATTAACGTCCTTTTTTGTGTGTGTGTGTGTGTGTGTGTGTGTGTGTGGGTGTGTGTGTGTGTGTGTGTGTGTGTGTGTGTACACACACGCACACATACACTCTCTCTCACCTTTAACTGTCATGTAGCAGTTTGTCGACCGATTGCACCCTATTTAACAAATCAACAGCATCGCAGTACTGTGAAAGCTATCAGCAAAAAAAAAAAGGCACACCTACTGACATGGACCCTATCACTGTCCAGTTTCTTTAATTCCTGTAGTCAGAGCACAGATAAGCATCACTTCTGGTCAGTTTCCAGTAAATTAACGATGGGATTAAAAAGAACTGAGGGTATCTCAAAAGTGAATGTAAAGAAAGAGGAAACTGATTACAAGTTGATCTTCAGCTGAGAATCTGAAAACTGTCTTAAATGTCACGTTGACGACTGTTATCCTTACTATGTTCTACATCAACTGTTATGAGAGAGTTGTGTGACTCCTTCTTTCTTTTGTATTTATTTATCATTTCTTTATGAATCTGCACGGGTGGTAAGCTTCTGTGCGTGTGCTGCATGTTCATCCTCACGTCGGTGTAGATATGTGCGTATTAAAGCTGTGTGTGTAGGATTTGTTGGAATGTGTTGGGCTGTGCGAGCAGGGAGTTAAAGGTCCTTGATAAAACCAAATGAATTTGGCAGGCCCGACTCTTAAGACAGCGATTTGAGGATCTTTTCCAAACCAGAAGAAAGAGAAAAAAACATAAGCTGACGTTTCTTCTCTCTCCAAGGCGCCTATTGATTATGTCTCTGTCTCCCTCAATAAAACTGTCAATGTTCACCAATATCAAGCAACGTGAGGAAATTACTACTCTTCATTCCTGGCAGATTGAAAACAGTCCTGGGACCAAGGAAGGAAATGTATCTATTGGAAATGACGACCTGTATTTACTGGCTGTGAGCGAGAGTTTAAGTTTCAAAGAGTGTGAAGTAATTAGCTGAGCACCCCCCCACCCCCCCATTTCAGACCTCCACACACAGTCAGCTCTCACACCATGGGGTCATTTGATAGTTTAATGCCTTTTTTCCATATCGATAGAGATGATGCTAAAATTCCTCCCAGAGGTTTTCATTATCACTGTTTATATATGAGACAAAAATTTCAAACATCACAGGATCATTTCTGAAAAATAAAGGTGATTATATCTCTGTTTTTCCTCAACAAAGAAGAATGCCATGCTTATATTTTTTTTACATTGACAGAAATTGAAGAAAATCGATTTATTTCAGTTTCAAGACAACTTTAATGAGGCAACCTTTTAAAATCCAGTCTCTGTCATTTTAACAAACGCCACCTCATTGGTGCAGTAACTGCTCTTTGCTCTTGGTAGAGGCAACACTGTTTAGATTCCAGTTTTCAAAAGTGTTTTCATTTATTTAAAGCATGCCGACTGTGTTGTGCATGGGCTTTCCCCTGCTCTCGAACTCAGCGGGCATCTTCGCCAGAATGACATCCGCACAACTGACCAGGCTCATTCAGTCCTCGCTCCTAAATCAGATGTGGGATTGCATTTCATGAGCACCCTCACAAACATATTTAGTCCTTGTGCTTTATGTTTTGTTAGTCCGTGAAAAGCCTCGCTCTGTTGTTGAGTTGATGTGCCTTTTTAAGAGAGAGAGCTCTCTCTCTCTCCCTGCTTCCCTCACTCCCTCTTTCTCGTTTTTCTTCTTTTTTCAAGTGCCAATTTATTTAAACTCCTTTCCCCTTTTCTTCTTTCTCCTTCATTGATTTCCAAACCCCAGTCTTTGTATGCAGCTGGGGCCCAGCTGTGTGTCTGTGACTGTGTATGTGTGTGCATGCGTGTATGTGTGTGCGTGTGTGTGTGTGTGTGTGTTTGTGTGGGTTTTTCTGGCACACTGCTGCCACAGTGAGCATAGCACACTGTACACAAAGGACTCAAGCAGCAAAAAAAAGAGAGGGAAAAAGAGAAAGAGAGAGAATAGGGGGGGAAAACATTGGAATGAGAAAGACTGACGTGCTTGTACTGTACAGAGTGCAGGGGCCGGGCCTTTTGGACCGGGCCTGCGTTAACGGCAGATGTATCGGCGCTTGGGGATGAGGGGTGGAGGAGAGTGAGACAGCAATGAAGAGCTCAGGCACCAAAGTTTATTACCAGGACTCTTCTAGGGGCTCAGCTCCGGCGTCAGAACCAGCGGGTGGGAGGGACAGAGGAGGAAGAAAGAAGAGGAGGATGACAGAGGTGGGGAACTGATGGGGTTGACAGGGCTGAAGACAGCGAAAACAGTTCTTCACCGTGAGAAGACAAGGGATGGAGGGGGTTGAGGGGGTGGGGGGGGCGTGAGGGGGAGAGACAGAAGAGACAGGAGGACGGGCGACAGAATGTGGGATAAACTTTTAAGTGTTTCCTTATTTGTTCCCCAACGTTCCCATAGCTCCAAGTGTCACAGATTTTCTTCCCATCCCAGCTCTGTGTGTTTGATGCCAAATCAACACAGCAGTAATGGGGAATCCCTTGATTGAGTCCCTCTGGTATTTTTCACATGTTTATTCAATTATTGCTCGTTCTGATGTTTCAGATGTAGCCCAAGCAGTCCCATGTCTTACTGTACATTCCTGCCGTGTGGCTGCCACACTGATGATCCACTCCAGGAGGAATTATTCGGAAAGTTTTGCGGTGCCATCGCAGGATGAATAATCGCACAGCAATATTAGCTCCTGCATATGGCCGTTTGGAGTTGAAGGATGTCTTTTGTCGAGATGTTACAGCAAAGTGTCCTTTTCTGCACGTTGCAAAATCGGTGTGGCCTCCTCTGCAGGATTTAAACTTTTGTTCAAACGATCACAGTCTGATCCCTTAGTAGATGAAGGTCAAATTCTGTGTAGTTATCAGGAACAGTTAAATTGTCTCAGTAGATAAGAAATAGCACAATAGTGTACACATGGCTTCACTAGAAACTTTTGAGTGAATGTCTGAGGATCATACTCCTTTCAACTGCAAGATAACACTAATGACTGCAGAGCCCATGAGGTGTGTATGCATGCGTATGTATATCT